GGAGGGCCTTTCCCAGTTTTCAGCAGACAATGACTGCACAGTTCGCTGTACCAACCCTTACAGGTTTTTAGAAACACAAATAAGGCTTTTGAGATGTGCTCCCTAGCTTCTGGTTATTTGGCAAACAATTCAGTTCCATGGAGTGTTTTATCCTCTCTGTGTTTCCCAAGCTATGGTTTCTTCCCTGGGAACAATGGAGACAGAGGCATGGCCATTTCAAATGTACAAAAAGCTTAATTTGGCAGCAGAATCAAAAAGGTGAAAGGGCTGAAATATTCAGCTAGATTCTAGAAGCAGCCACTTATTAATTAAACTAATAAAGCAGAAAATCCTAAGGTCAAAGGGATGGAAATCATTAGACTCAAACTTTAATAATGGGACTCATTTACTCTGCCCCAAAAGATTATGTTTTGGCCCACTAACTGAATGTGAAAATCCTTGAGTGGTATTTCTTCTTCACATTTTGAATGGTGTATCTCTGTCCTAGCTAAGAAAGAAATTCCAGTTTCCATAATTTTTTCAGAATTTTCAGAATTTTTCAATAATTCTCTTTTGCTTTTCTATGACCACCATCATGTTTTATTTCTATCCTCTCTCCAAAATCCCATTTTCCTTTCAAAATCATACCTGGCCCTTCGAGTCATGGAAAACAATTCTAGCTGTAACCCCTTACTGTCATTACTGGTAATTACTTATAGCACTGTCCCATAAAACTGTCTATGATGAACACTCATGTAAATGTCCCATATTTTCACTGTCCAAGACAACGGCCATTGACCTCATAAAGAAACCAAAGCACAGGAGATGGGGTTATCATGGCTGAAAAAGTGTTGAATTATATTTGATCTTTGTGAATTTAAACTTAATTTAAGATAGCCAATGTGGCAAGTAGTTACTTAACTTAGTTCTCTTCTCAATCTGCTTCCTGCTGCCTTCTTGTCTACCTTCCTTCCATACTGGCTCCAAAGTCACATTCCTCCCCAAGGCTGGCCCTTGTTCCTAGCTTCATATATTACATAAATGGACCAGTCTTATTTTTGTCTGGGTCATTTCTGAATGTTTTAAAATGTCTAATCATCTTAAGCCAAGTTATCCAGGCTCAGAAGACCAAAATTAGCATGTTCTCCCTAGTATGCGGATTACAGACCTAAAACAAATGCAGTAATATTATTGAACATGGGTCACACACGTGCACAGGAGGGATAGGGAAAGGAAAGAAAACCAAAAACCTGAGTGTGGTTGATTTGCTCACTGTAGAGGAGTGAATATAGTAACCTTAAACTGGCAGAGGCCACTATGGGAAGGTGAGTAGGCCTCACTACGAAGAGGTCTGGCAGAGATGAATCAATTTAGATTGTAACACAAACATGCATGGTAACAACATTAGGAACTCCCTGGATAGCTATCCTTATCTCAAACTAGCAAAACTGCCATGGTTTTCTTTTTATCTCTTATGGTTTTTCTTCAACAAAATCGGAGAACAAGAGGGAAGAACAGGTTCTGCTCAGAAGTGGTGGGGGTAAGTGGCCCAAATAATGTATATGCATGTAAGTAAATGGAAAAATGATAAAATTAAAAAAATAAAACAAGTGAAATAAAATGTCTAATCAGAAAACATGGAGAGTGATTTCACCAACAACATCAGTACTCCCAATTAACTAACTTGTTGGGGATGATTTGGCCAAATGTTACACAACTCCATCTTCTCCACACAAAGTGAACTAGCTCTTCAAGGGCAGCTTTTCATTCATCCTTATGTGTGCAGTGCTTGGCTAGGGTCCATCTTACCAGAGTCATATCTCAGTGATTATTGACTGTAGGAAAAATGAAGGAATGAGTTCATGCACAAATGGTGAGTGTCTACTTCTTAAGCAGATACAAAAATGGTGTCATGGCTGTCTGTAAGAACCAAACATCCTGAACCACAGCTGTAAAGAATGAGACAAAGAATGATGGGGTAAATGGGACATTTGATAGTCATGATACTAAAGCTTAAGCAGATTTCACCATACTGTGAAAATACCATTACCTTCCTTCTGTGGGGCTTACTAATATATGATGCTGACTACACCTACAGAAATACACATACACATAGGCAGAATATTGGGTTAGTTCTATGTTGTTGCTGATGTTTTTCTTTCTTTTAGTGATCATAATACCATGTTAAAAACTTAGTATTTCTGACTTGATTCCAGCAAGGTTTGGTTCAGGGTCAAAAGGCAACTTAAATCCAGTCAGATTCTGCTAGGGGAGTTAGGATTTCTGTTCAGTGTAATAAATGATCCCAAGATAAATATATGTCTCTCTTTAATTCTGGATGGTAGTGTATCTTCTTTGCAATACAAAAACAGAGGAATCTGGCTGTGTTTAGTTTGTCTGATTGCTTTGAAGAGGGGGACCAGGTTAGCTCTGAAAAAACTATGGTCCTCTATTCATTAAAGTGTCAATAATACTCAGTCCAGGCATATTGACAGCAGATTAGCTTGGGCTGAGTCTGTGTATAAGACCAATGCCTTTCTTAACCCAGCTTGTTTCTAGATCAATATACCCATCAGCATTTGAAAATTAGCCCAAGATGAGATTCCAATACTAGAAGTCGTGTGTCATACAAAGAGGGGACCTAGACAAGTCACAGATGTAAACACCTAGCTGTGGAGTAGACATTTTCCATTAGCTTGGACGTGAGTAAAGATGGATGTAGACTGCATACCCTCACACTACCCATCACCCCACCTCCTAGTTACTCAACCTTCTCTCTTGAAGTTCATATAAAATGTTAGGTCTTTGAACTATAATTCCAGCCCTTTGCTTCAACAAACATTTATTAAATATTCAATTTGTATAAGGCACTCTACCAAGTGTTTAGGGCAGGAGTATGTGGGTGCATGAGAAGGGAAATGTAAGGAAAAAATGACAAAAATGTGGTTTCTGGCTTTCAAGGAGGCAGTTGCATTTTTCATTCCTTTCTTTTTCCAGCTCCATAAAGGTACTGATTCCTAGAGCAAGCATCTGCCCATAGCTCCTAGTCTTTTATTGTTATTGTTCTACCCAAGGAAGGACTTAAAAGGCACCACTGGGTGCCCCAGAGTATCCATCAAACGTCCCCACAGAGTGGTGATTCTTAAACTTTACTTTGTCTATCTATAATAAAGATATATCTCACACAGAAAATGAATACTCATTGCAATTAAAATCTCATGTAGGAATACCTTCTCTGTGATTTATAATACTCTTTGATCATTTCTATGCTATTCTATTTAAAAATGTTGTTTGCACATGTCAGTATGAAAAAGCACTCATCTGTAGAACCAGTAAAAGAAAGAAAACATCATAATTTCCTTTTGTGAAAAAGGAACAAGGAAAAAATGTAAAATCCTAGTGTGAGCACCCTGACACAGCATGAGGCCACTACTCATTGTTTGAGTGGTATCACCTCTGACCATGTTCTCTTCTTCTAGGGTGTCCTGTTTTGTTTTTGTTTCATTTATGTACGTGTTTCTTTTTTGAGGGTGGTACTGGGGAGTCAACTGAAGACTTTTGCACTTGCTAGGCAAGAGCTCTAACACTTGAGCCATGGTCCCAGTCCTTTTGCTTTTCAGTTGTTTTATAGATAAGGTTTCACATTAACTTTTTCCCAGGATGGCTTTAGAGAGTGATCTTCCTGATTCTGCCTCCCAATTAGCTGGGATTAAAGGCATGTACCACCATACCTGGCTTTAGTATGCCCTTTCTCATCAATGTTCACCCTATCCTACTCTTCAGGACAATTTTACTTTCTCTTCTTTCTTGCAATGGCTTTCCCTTAATTCTTCTAGCTCTGTTGATCATTCCTTCTCATTTTCCTCTAACCAATCATGCCCAGCTATTTGCACTTCTCAGGCATGCTGACAAAGAAGGAAGCTGAGAGGGTCTTCATTGCCCTTCACCTGATCTGTGGCTGGAGACCAGGGGTCTTAGACCAGGCTGGGGAAGCACCTCCAACAGAGCAGCTGGCATTTCATTGCTTGACAACTTTAGCTTCTTAGACAATAAAATGAGTATTCAATCTACTATAAAAGTTGTTTAAAAGTTACAAGATAGCAGCAGTATTTCAAAAGAAAAGAACTAGCATAAAGCTAACATTTAAATAGACTTTCTGTGATCTAGGTCCTCTTCTAAATGTTTTATAAATCATACATGTAAAATTTAATCCTCACCCCAGCACTTCACAGGGACCCCACTAGCTTGATCAGAGCCTCTCCATCAGACAGTAGTCCAAGTGTGGTTTTAAATTCTTACTCAAAAATTAGGAATGTATCTCCTGTTAAGTGTTTTCTGAAAGCATTGGGACCAGTTTTGTTTTGTGGGAAATGATAAACACCAGTCAAAGGTTTGAGAAACAAAGAAAGTATAACTTAGAGAAACACACAAAGAACCAACCAACCAACAAAACTCTAAGCAAATACCTCAAAGTGCAGCAGGGGAGGAGAGTGGTGTGACTGAGATACATAGAATCTGACCCTGGTTTTAAAGAAAAGGTGTAGGATTAAAAGCCAGGGCTGGAACATGTGAGAAGCAGCACACTGGAAACAATTGAGTTGAGTGCAAAGGATGTAGCTGAGGCAGGACCCCAGAGCCTCCTGGTTGCCTCTGCTTTCTTTGAAGGCTGGTCTAGGGCATAGTACAAGAAGAGCATTAAAATGCTGGTCTTAAAATAAAGCAAGCTTGGATTTGGATGGAACATTAAAAAATGCTTAGGGGATAAAAAGCCAAGGAAAGCAATAATTAGAAGATAATTTTCTAAGAAAATACATTATTGGAATAAAAGCGGAAAAAAATCCCTAGTTCTACTTGGTGGGTCAATTATTGGAAAATTCAGATTCTTACAGAAAAATAACAATGAGAAAGGTGTGCTTGCTGAAGGGAATAAACAGGACTCAACTGTTAAAGATCATAGAAAAATTCCTTAATACCACCTTCCACAGCTACCCATTTAGGTCTCCCAGCCAAGCCCCACCCACCTTGTACAATGAGGTGGACCCGAGAGGTCTTTGGGTGGTTATCTGTCTGCACCGAGCAGGTGTATGGGCCCTCGTCATACACATCCACATTCTGGATCTCAATGCTGTATTGGGTTTGGGTGTTGCTCAGGAGGACAACGCGGGGATCCAGGCACCATTTGTCATTCCCAGCATAGAGGATTGTGCTGCGGTTAAGCCAGGCCACCCGGGTGACCCGGTTGTCAATCGTGCACCTGAAGATAAGAACAGACAGATAAGTTAAAATACCACAGAGAAAACAAAAGTCATCAGAGAAAGAGCTCTTCATGGCAAAGCTGGGATATCTTCTTACAATGACTTATCTTTCCCCATTACTTCCAATATACACACATGCATTTCCTGTGTCACGGGTGCAACTTTCTAGAACTCAGCAGCAGAGACCTTGTGGAATCATGGCCTCAGAACTTTGGCTGTCTCAGACTTTTAGGTTCTGAGAAGTTCCGTGCTTCCTAAACCACTGGAGCAAAGGATCGTCTCAAATAACTTCTCCAGTATAAGCTGGAGACATCTTGTATACTCTGAATGCTGGACCTTCCCAACACTACTGACCCTCTCTTGGCGCAAGGGCTCCCAAGATGTGGAATGAAGATTCTCTCTTGCATTACTGTTCATGTGTTTTGAGTGTACTAAGTTGTTCAATACTTGTAACAGCCATGTGGGTATGTTCTAATGGAAGAGGAATTCAAAAACAGAGAAACTAAATAATTCTCCAATTCATAGTTAATATGTGCTGGTCAGAAATCCAGCTTTTAACTACTAACTATTATTTCACTCATCTCAGAATAGCAAGTTCCAACAGAAGGCTTCTGAAGTCAAAACTAAATATGGACCACCAGCATTGCTATTTATCTTCATTATACCCAGGGGCAGAAATGTTCAAATATTGCTAGACTAAAGGCATTTTCCAAAATCTCAAAACTGTTTGCACATGTAAAAATAGATTTCTTTTCTTTTATTTTTGCATCTGGAGTTCTCAAATTGAGGAAGCTTCCTTCTCTTTTCTGTACTTTGAAATCTCCCAGAGACTCTCGCCAAGTCCTCATCATATCTTCTGTATGTATTCATTTCCCTCTCTTGCTACACCAAGTGTGTTCTGTGGCCTTAGGCTAAATTCAACGCATTGTCCTGATCCTAACTATCATGCTAGAAATAGCTGTGTTGCATGGTAACTATAATGATGCCTCACATTTAGACATTCTTTTGCAGTGTACAAAAAGCACTTTCACATTCCCACTGTTGCATTTGATTACTGCAACACATCTGGGGGCAGATGCTATCACCCATTCTCCGCTGTAAAGACCAGGACTACAGAGTTCCAAATGGCTGGATCTTGCCCAAGGTAAGAGAAAAGAAGTATTGTAGCCAGGCCTCTCATCCAGTTCTTCTAATTCCTGGTACTGTGTATGTATGCCCCAGAATGAACAAAGGTGAATTTTTCAGTGGGAGGGGTTTTTGCTTCTATTGAGTTCTCAAAATGATCTTTGACCATAAAAACATCTAAGAGCTACTCCTGAGCACAGTTACTCCACTCTTTCCAACTTTGCCAGGCAATCTCTCTCAAGATGAGACATCTAGTATTGTGCATCTTGTCACACTACCATTGGAGGCTGCAGAGGGACACTTTGTGAAGAGCTCCTAAGGAGTAAACTGCCCAACCACGGACACCTTTGGTCTGGTGTCCAGCAAGTTCTGTGCTGCTTATGGTATGGTCTCACTCCAGCATAGTGCATGGAAATGATGAAAATGGCAACTACAGAAAGGTCAATGGACTATTTTTGTCAGTGGGCATAGGCAACTTATGTCAAAATCACATGAGGGGTTCATAATCTCTACCATGCCTTATTAGCACATTCAGAATCTTTGGAATTCAGAAGTACAAATTTATGACAACAATCCAGTTGGGTCATATATATGCTGAATTTTGAAAGCAACTGGTGTAGAATAGTACCATCTACATTATTTTTGGGGTGCAAAACGAAAAGGCAAACATCTTGGTTCAAGAATTAGGAAGAATTTTGAGTTGGAATGAGCCTAACACTACACCACATGTAGGTTCCTATGCAAATCAACATAGTCATGAAGACAGGTAATGACTGCATCTCAAACTCTACTGTGCTTCTGAAATGCCTGCGGGTCTTGCTGAAATGAAAATTCTGATTCATAGCTCTAGGTTGGAGTCTGAGATTCTGCATCTTTGGTAAACTTTTAGGTGATGCCTATGATGGTCACTGGACCATTCCTGAAATACCATTTCTCTTGAAATGAATTGAGTGCATATTGACATTTGAGAAGGACCCAGGTCCCCTTCACTATGCGGATATGCAAAAGGCAAACAGCTGCTTCAATTACACCTATAAACTTGTTAGAAATTAAGATTCTCAAGCTGCCATCACAGTCAATGAAGTAGAATCTGCATTTTCTTAAAATTGTCAGGTAACTCAAGTGCACAAGAAGTTTGAGTTTGGACTACAGTATACCCCAGGCTTCTTTTCGTCTCTGATGACAATATCTAGAACACTCCCTAAGAGGAAAGGGGCACCATTCCTTCCCTTAAGCTCTGCACAGCCCCAATGATGTTCATCTTCGCCTGAAACTTGGATTTGCTAAATTCCTCAAGAAAGAGAAAACACTATACAGTTTGCTTTATTAGCAATGATCCTGGAACAACATTTACAGCAATAACCTAGTAATCTTCACTAATAATGTACCTGCACAGCATTTATAGCAAACACCTTTGCTAGGGTGTAAGCTGGGAGCTGGTAAAATTCATATTCATGGCCAACACTAATTGAACCTATACCACTGTGTGCTAGGAACTGTGCAAGCCCATTCCATGTACTGCTGGCATCTCAAAAACATGGCAGTGTTCACTTATTGTTGCCAATTTACAGATAAGATTAACTGAACCTAACAAAAATCTATATTGTTGAAGATCACAATGGTATTAATTTGTATGAGGAGTCACCCTAGTTTTTGCTTTGTTTTGTTTTATCTTTCAAATTCACTGTTCTTTTTTCTTTCTGCTTCTTTTTTTTTCTGGTACTGGGGCTTGAACTCAAGGCCTTCACCTGGAGCTACTCCTTCAGCCCTATTTTTGTAAAGGGTTTTTTGAGATAGGGTCTCGTGGGACTATTTCCCTTTGCTATCTTTGAACTGCAATCCTCCTGATCTCTGCCTCCTGGGTAGATAGGATTACAGGCTTGAGCCACCGGTGCCCAGCCAAATTCACTATTCTTGAATATTCTTACAAGGTCTCCAAAAAAAAAAAAAAGAAAGAAAGAAAGAAAAGGAAACCATCTAAATCAGTGGTCATCAAATTCAACGTCCATCAGAATCTCTGATAGCAACTGGCAGTTGCTCACGTTTATAATCCTAGTTATTTGGGAGCTGAGATTGGGAAGACTGTATTTCCAGACCACTGAGACCTCATCTCAACTAAAAAAAAATAAAAATAAAAATAAAACTAGGCATGGTGGATGCGTTTCATCCAAGCTACTAAGCCTAAAATAAGAAGATCATGGTCCAGGTTGGCCTGGGCAAAAAGCAAGAACCCATCTCCAAAATAACAAAAGCAAAAGGACTGGAAGTGTGGCTTAGGCAGTAGAACACCTGCCTAACCAGCATGAAACCCTGAGTTCAAACTCTAGTACCGCCAAAAGAATAAATAATCTCTGATAAAACAAGGATGGCAAGTTCCCTCCCCCCAAGTTTCTGGCTTAGTGGATTTGCATTTCTGTTCTAATCCCAATTGATGCTGATACTCCCTAGAGATCACACTTTGCAAAACACTAATTTCTCTTGTTGGAAACCATTTCCCATTACTTTGCAGGAGAGAATTTTCTTGAAACCAATATGTTCTAGAAGGCCATAAGCAGACTCCTTGTTATTTTTTTTCCTAGCAGCTGAAATTTTATCAGATACCAGTTAAATGTCCATGGTGCAGGAACTGCTGACCAACAGACTCTGAAGTATATGCATAGTTGTGGATTCCCACAACACGGGCATCTCACAACCTCAAGAGGAATACCAAGGGACAGTCCCAGCTTCTGTATGAGCATCTAATTATTGAGAATTGGCTGAAGCAAAAGCCTTCCCACCACACTGCACTGCATTACAGGGCCAAAGAGTTTCCCCTGTAGTCATACAAAGGCTCCACACACAGCCAATTTCCAGCACAGCTAAGAGGCCCTTGTGATATACTATGCTGAAAAGTTGGCATAGCTTCAGCTGCGGTTTTGGGCACATCCAAGGTCATGTTTAGATGTCCAAACTGTCACTACTGGATATCAGTCTTGCTGAGTCTCCATGGAATTAACGCTGGCTTCTGCAGAGATGGATCACAAAGGTAACTCGGCAGCCAACTCCTGTCACCTCTGCCTACCTGCCCCCATCTACCTGTCTCATTTATCCAGTCTCCATAACAATGCAGAGGAGACATTTCTTCTAGAATAAAAAATAAGTTGAAAATAAGCAAAATTGCTTTCTCAGATAGAGTGAATGCCTTGGTTGGTGGGGGGTGGGTAGAAATTTGGGGGTGGGGAGTTCAGTCAACAGGCTTCCTCTTTTCAGATACTGCCCTTTCTTCTACAAAATTACTCCAAACCACACATGGTATTTCACCTTTCTTTGGAAGGTGATAAAATATATGATTAACTAGGAGTGACTAAGGTTGCAAACTCACCCATCCCTGACTAATCGAGGTCAGCAAAGCTGGAGATAGCCACTTGTCAGACATCAAACAGTCACAGCTCAGCAGGATGCAGGCCAGGAACTGAGGTCCCACATGGAGAGGTTGGGACGGGCACCCACCAAACCTTGAAAACTCTCACTTCTCCCACAGTCTTGAGATAAACCAAACTCCTACTTCCACGTCCTTTCTACCTAGCATGCCGTCTGTACAAAGAACAGAAGAACAAATGTCCCTAAGCCTTCTGGATTGGGCCCTCGAACTCCCTATCCCCCCCTCCCATTCTGATAGCCTTCTGTCCTCAGTTTCAATGCCTGGACCCAGCTAAGTCCACCTCCAGTCTTTGGTGCTTCTATAAATGACTTATCCACTCCCATCAGTCCAGTAGCTCTCCCTCCTACATGTGGTCCCTAAGACAGTCCATGGCCTGGCCTATCCAGAATCCTGGCAGAATCCAGACAGAGAAAGAGAGAGGAGGAAAGTATGGAAGGGATTTTTTTTCCATTT